ATCAAAACAGCTCACAGTGATAAAAGACAAATAACCATCCTGAACAGGTAGAGAAAAACATATTTACCTTTGACCGTTTGTTCGTCAGCAAATTCAGCGGCATCGCCGCTCTTCAGATGAAGTATGATCTTCGTTCCGTTCTTCGCAATATCGGCCTCTGTCACTTCATAGAAGCCGTCGCTAAAAAAAAACGTTACAAAGCTAACCCATAGAAGCAATGGTTCTGCACCCAGAAGATGTCCAGCAATATCCCTGGGCTTCAGGCTTATAGCTTTTGGTATAGACCTCGATTTTGTCGGCAACGATGAATGACGAATAAAAGCCTACACCGAACTGGCCAATCACGTTGTCCAATGAACTAATTTCTCCTTTGTCTCTCAGTTCCTTGACAAGGTTCTAAACACGGCCTCTGCACGTAACAACGTTATTCATTAAACGTGACTTCACTTACGGCAGTCCCTGACTTTGCGATTGTGCCAAGATTATCGATCAGTTCTTCCCTAGTCATTCCAACACCGGTATCCTATATAAGCTAGAGTATTAACTGAAAACGTATACAAATACTAAGAAATAAGGAAAGCGCTACCGTGGTCATCTACTCATGGATAGAATTTTGGCAAATTGGCATTTACATACTACTTATATTTACAACGTCTGTAACTAGAAATAGAGGACAGGTCTGGAGGACAGTCCTTTGAAACATTTGCCCCAGGTCATCCTTGGCCGTCCACGGGATCTGCCGCAGGTCGGTTCGGTAACTAATAGGTTTCACCTTCCTCTCTGGAAGCATTAGAAGAACACGCCCAAATCATCCCGTTTCGGACCTATCAATTTGCAGAAGCAGCGATTGCACACTCACAGATATCTGAACTCTAGATCATGCCGCGAAGCCTCTGCCCAGCGATTTGATTCAGAAAACCCATTTCAGCCGCATGTACCTGGGATCAAAATTTTCAAGGCATGGTTAAGAAATCACTACTGTCGGGATGAAGATCGACTTGAATACATAAAACTCATTCTTCAGATTCACCTCTGCCACAGCCATAGCGGTTTGGTCTAGTTTACGCAGAAATCTGCTGGCTATCCCAATCTCGACGAAAGATCTCTTCCTACCATTTTCCATCATATTCATCACCGTCACCTATTCCATTAATACCACCCGAGGTACGAGAATTTCTTCATCTGTTTCACATACTGGCCGTTTATCTGCAGAGCGCAATGGGCAAGATAACGAAAAATCAGCTGCGCTTTTCGATTTAGATACACATGTGAACCTAACGAGTGTGAGAGATCAATTTCAAGGTCGTCTGCAAACAGCAACTTTCTCGTCTCGACATCTCTTACACTGACACACTCAAATCACCATGGCTGCGCCGGACTATTCTATCGGTGGACAGCATAAACATGTGACGGGACAGAACGCAACCTTGGCAGTGATCAGCTCCGATGTTGAAAGACCTCGAATCAATGCCATTTACCCTGACACATCACCCGCTATCAGAAGTTCTGATTGAATAGCCCGTATCAACTGGCCATCGATACCATATGTTCGCAAGCATGCCCAATAATTCTTGCGCGGCATCCAATTATAGATTTTCTCTAGACAAACAAAGCACATGTTGACAGAATCAGCAAACTCCGTAGAGAATCAACATTCTAGAGTAAATCGAATATCTGGTCAGAGGTACTTCGGCCAGACTTGAAGCCGCAGTGCTCTTCTTCTATGTTAGATTCAGTAATTCCGCGGTACCTTCTTTCTAGCACCTTTGAGTAGACTTTTCCCGGGAGGCTCAATAACGCAATGACTCGGTAAATGGATCACTCCCTAAGATTTCCTCCCAGAACGCAGGTACTACAACCAACATTCACCAGTCCACTGTTGCATTTATGGTTCCTTTGCAGCTTGACAGAGTCGTGACAGCCTCAACATGCTT